TCGCCACACATAACACACACACACAGACACACAGACACACACACACACACCATTTATACACACTTGCCACACATCTACCACACACTCACCACACACTCACCACACAGGTACTCATTATACATATACTATATGCACCATATACCACACACACACTACACATACAATATACATCATATACTCTCACCACACACTTACCACACACATCACACAAATACTACACACTAACTACACATACATTCACCATACATACCATATATATACTCACTACACACACACACTCACCACATAGGCACTTACCACACATACACCACACACTCACCATACAGGCATTTACCACACATACCACACATTCACTATACACACATTCACCACACATATACCATACACACTCTACACGACATATACACTACATACACAATATACACCATATATTCTCATCACACACTTACCACACACACACTCACCACACACACCACACTTATACCACACACTCACCACACATTTGTATATATATCACACACTCACCATATACACTACACGCTCACCACACAATTGTACATGTATCACACACTCACCATATACACTACGTACTCACCATTCACTTACCACATATACACTACACACTATAACACTACACACACCATACATACCATATACTCTCACCACACACATTCCACACACACTCCACACATAACGCATACTCATCACACATATTTACCACACATTCCACATAGTCACCCCCCCGACCATACACACATGCTCACCATACACATGTACCATATGTACCCATCACAAACATACCACACATACTTACAATATAGTCACCACACATACACCACACTCTCACCACACATACCACATGCTCACCATACACACACCTGACATGCATCATATACACGCAGTGCACTTATACACACCACATGCTACACTCACCCTTCACACTTACCATACTATGTACCTCTACTATACACATACCACACATGCACATACACACTACAGACACACACTCAATGCCACACATAGACACACACATGAAATGCATGCAACACACACCATCTGTCCGTCCTTCCATGCCTGAAGATCACTCCGCCCTTTATCACCACCCATAACTCCTCACTCTTCTCCCATCTACTGAAAAGGAGAAAGTGATTAGTAAATCAAATTTCATAGTACCACAAGTCTCATGAATTTCCATGTGTCTTCCCTAGGAGGCCATGAGATGGGGGACCATGACAATCCTCAAAAGAGTGATACATGAACCAGGCATGGTGGCACACGCCTTTAATCTCAGCACTCGGGAGGATCTCTGTCTGTTATGCCTTCTCCATCATGGTCATACTGCTCCGCCCAGTGGATTTCTCAATGGCCACCCCTACCCCGCTGCCAGACAGAGTCAGGACAAGGGGAAGAAGCAGAGCCGCGGTTTGCTGCCACAGAGCTGTCCTGCTCTCAGCATTTCCAAAGTGTAAGAACTGGAAACAATTACACCCCTCTCCTGCCTTACCAGCAGACAAGGTGTATTTGGCATGTGCTATTTATAGTCCAGCCAAGTCCCCCAAGCCCTCAGAGGGAGCAGGCAAAGTTCCCAGAGCGTCCCTGCTTCGGTTAGAGCAACCAAACGTTTGCTGCTGCTGCCACCTACGGCAGAAAGAGGGAATTGCGGCAGGAATCCTGAGAGGTCCAACTGTCCCCACAGGTGCCTGGGTTGGGCGGCAGCCCAGGTCACGGTGGGTATCTAATAATGGCTGTTGGGTTGACACCAGTGCCAGGGCACTCCAAGTCAGAACGCACAAGCCAGGGCTTTCTGAGCAAACAGGAATGTCCCTCCGCGCCAGACGAATGGCTGACACAAACCCGAGGGAGGTGGCACAGGCAGCGTGACGCTGGACACAGCAGTGGCTTACCTGGCCTTGGTGCTGCTTGACCTAGTGCTGTTGACTTTGGCCACGTTTAGTTTGACGTTGTTGCGCTTCATTGTCTCCTAGATCAAATACTTGTGAATTTGAGAATCCTGAGAAAGAAGAGAGCCGCTGGGTTAGTGCCCACGGGCTGGCCAGTTTCCTTGGCTCTCTGAGCCCCAAGTAAAGTTACTGCCGGTGAGTACCGTAGGCACACTCCTCACCCTCCCAGGTCCCAGCCTCTCCCCATTCTCCTTTCTATCTTCCACACAGCACCTGAAACAGTAACTTGGAAGCCCTGCGGTGTCCTGTTCCTTCCAATCACCGTCACTCTTACAATCAGCCTCCTCGGGTCTGGATATCAGCCTGTGTCTTCCTGCAGCTGCCTCTCACTCCTGTTCCCACACCTGTACCCCACCAGCCTCTGGTAGTCCCCGGGACACACAAGGTCCTTTCCACGATGGCGCCTTTGTCCTCACATGCTGTCACCTCTGCCTATCCACCCGCACTTCTCCCTCTCTGTCCACTGAACTCTCCTTGTCCTGGAGCTCACTGCTTCTCAAGCCTGTGTCCCCTGGAATCCTTCTTAGAAACAGATGGCTGCACCCAGTTCTAGATTCCGATTGCCATGAAGAGCAGTGGGGAACTAAGAATGTGGGAATGTCCAAGTTCCGAGGGGCTCTTACCACCTCCATGGCCCCCCAAACATCACTCTGGGAGCGGATGCCCTGTGCCTCAAAACTAACGTCACTTCCCTGGGAAGCCCTGGTGGATTCCTCCACACAGGCCAGCCTCCCTCACACAGTGATGTTGACCTCAGTTATCCCTCATAACTCTTTATCCATTTTGCAATGATGTGTCTATTGGTGAGAGTCTTGGCGGCTCTGAAGACTGCAGCCAAGGAGCTGGAGAGAAGGTCCAGTGACTAACAGCACTTACTCCTCTTGCAGAGGACCTGAGTTTGGGTCCCAGCACACACATCAGGCGGCTGACAATAGCCTGGAACTCCAGCTCTAGGGGATCCGATGCCTTCTTCTGTACACACACACACACACACACACACACACACACACACACACACACGTGTGTAAATAAATGATAAATCTTTAAAAAATAAAATGGCACTGATCTACGAGTATAGCGGTATCATCATTAGGAATCATTTTATCGCTATGTTCCTTTAGCAGAATGAAAGTATTGTTTTCCCCTAGGCCCATGACCTGTCTAGTCTTAAGTTCTTGGCCACTTTAGCAGTGTCAGGTATGGGTTCCATCTCATGGGGTGGGTCTTAAATCCAATCAAAAAGTGGTTGGTGACTCCCGTAACATTTGTGCCACTCCTGCCCCAGTAGATCTTGCATGTTGGTCAACGTCGCAGATTGCAGGGTTTGTAGCTGGGTGATGTTGATGGTCACCTTTCTCTTCCAGTAGCATGCAAAAACCTTCTGGCATCATGAATGCTAGTCAGTAGGGGGTGAAACTTCTAACTCGGCACTAGATCAACTTCTCCATGTCTGAAGACATAAGAAATGTGGTCTTCAGCAACGGGGCCCTACCATCAGGTTGTGAAAAGCAGCTAGTAGCCTTGGCAGTAGCCTGTGTGGTGTTTGGAGGGTTCTATGGGACCCCCTGTGGTCAGCCCTCCTCGGGGAAGCTTCTTGTGGTTGACAGTAATTAATGCAGACAATGTGCAGAGAGTGACAGACTTTGGAGCACTCAGTCCTAAATGGGATGTCTTCAGCAAACCCCTCCCCTCAAGGCTCGGGAATCTTTGTGGAAGAGAAGGTGGGAAGATTATGTGTACCAGAGGTGATGGATAACTCCAGACACAGCAGGACCGATGCACATATGAACTCAGAGACTTTAGCAACACAGGACCAATGACGGTTCCAGCTAGACCGAGTCCCAGCACTGAGAGAAGGAAGTGGACACGGGGTCCAGCCTCTAACCATAAAGCTATCTGCAACCGATACCTGCTGGGAAAGGGGAAACTGGTTTTCTGTAGTGAAGTGACGCTGGGTTTATCAATCACACTCCAGGGCAGGTCCCATGCCCAGGAGTAGTTGACCAACAAAACAGACTCCATGTTTTTGTTTTTGTTTTGTTTTGTTTGGGGGTAGGGCGGACTTTTTGTTTCATTTTGTTTTGTTTTGGCTTTTTTTTTTTGTCTTACTAGTCTTTTGTTTGTTAATTGTGATTTTCATTTTTGTGCTTTTGGGGGGTTTTGGGAAGAGTCAAGACAGAGTTTCTCTGTGTATCCCTGGCTGTCCTTGAACTCATTCTGTAGATGAAGCTGGCCTCTGAGATTCACTTGCCTCTGCCTCCCTGGATGCTGGTATTAAAGGTGTGTGCTATCCCACTCAACTTTTGGTTTTTGTTTTTTTATTATTTTTTGAGAGAGAGAGCAAGAGAAAGAGAGAAGGGAGTGGGGGAGTTCTGGGAGGGAAAATATGATCAAAATATATTGTATGAATATTATTATTATTATTATTATTATTATTATTATTATTATTATTATATTACAGCCATGTTCAGGGCAGAGTTCAAAACACAGGACAAGGAAAGGACCGCTACTTCTGAAGCTTGAGGACTCCACGAAGAAAGGCCTGCTATGACTTCTCTCTACCTTCTTTCTAATCACTTGGAGGGGACCATGGAGGAGAGCTACCTACTGGCTTGCTTCCTCCAGCCTAGCTGAGCTACCTTTCTTCTACATCCCAGGCCCACCTGCCCAAGGGAGGGCGCTGCCCACAGTGGTCGAGGCCCTCGCCATCAATTAGCAACCCAGAAAATGCCTCACAGACGTTCCCACGGGCCAAAGTGATGGAGGCAATTCTTTCATTGAAGCTTCTTCTTCCCAGATGTGCCAAATTGACAACCAAGAACAGCCATTGCACTCCTTGGCCACCTGGCACATTTCATCTTTCAAGATAGAAGCTATAGAGCCAGGCCTGGCGGGACACACCTTTAATCTCAGCACTTGGGAGGCAGACGCTGGTAGATGTCTGCGATTTTTGGGCCAGTGTGGTGTACATAGCAAGTCCCAGGCAAACTGAAGCTATATAGTAAGTCCCTGACTTAAAAAAAAAAAAAAAAAAAAAAAAAAAGGTGGGGGAGCTGGAGAGATGGCTCAGTAGTTAATAGCACTGGCCCTTGTAGCAGAGGACCTGGGTTCAGTTCCAAGCATCCACACGGTGGCTTACAACTGTCCTTAACTTCAATTCCATGGGGTCTAGCACCTTCAACTGGCCTCTGTAGGCATTGCACATACACAGTACACATGCATACATGCAGGCTAAACATTCATATAGAGAAAATAAATATTTTTTAAAAGATTAAAAATCCAGTGCTTCCTTCACAAGGATGCTGTTTCAGTCATGTCTACAGAGAGCGTAGGCCTCTGAGTTTATCTTCTGACCACTTTGCTTGATAAAGAAAAAGATACAAGGCCCAGAGTTGCTTGCAGTTCCATCCTTGTGTCAGGGCCACAGACGGGGGAGGCATGGATGTAATACTTCCCTGCCTGTTCCTCTAGCCCCCATCTCAACGTTCACCGAGTCTCTGCTTTTAGACCTTTCTGGGGATCCAATGGAACTTGATAGTCAGCAAGCCCCTCCCGCTGAAGAGACCCCACCGGCTTTGAGGCCTGGCACAGGATGAACCCGACATCATTAGCCTCTGTTCTTGACAGGCTGCAATGAACACCTATCACTGTGAGGGAGAAGCCTGGGCTAATGTTACCCTGCTCTTGAAAGCTAACAGTGTGCTGCGCAGGACAAGACACTACAACAGGTTCTACACAGCTTATTCCTAACTATATCATCCTCAGGTTTTTCCAAGAAAAGACCATCCTGAGACGTTAACAAATGGAACTATTCAGAACTTGATGGTAGAAATTAACAATGCCTGGAAAGCCAGTATCCTGTAAAAAAAAAAAAACAAGCTTGCAGACTTTCAGATATTCCTTTTTTATGGCCTTGGTGTTTTGTTTTGTTTGAGATAGGGTCTCATGTAGCCCAGGCTAGCCTAGAACTCACTATGCACCAGAGGACGGCCTTGAATTCCTAAGCCCCCTGCCTCTACCTCCCTGCCTGCCTGCTGGATCACAGCAGTGAGTCACCACACCCGGCTCCAGCCATGCTTCTTGCCCACAGGCAAAACCCCCATGTGGCAGCTAGTTCCCAGATCCATTTGTTCATTTGCCAGAGGAGGACTGATGTCCAGCTTTCAGCAGATGCTATTTATAACAGAATCCTAACAAAAGTACCATCCATCTGCCTTGGCACCCAGAGAACACATAACTCAACACAAGAGTGGAAACTGCACACAGCCAGCAGCAACGGCATAAAGAGCAAACTGTTGGCGCTGGCATCACCCAGGGTAGGGAGAGAGCGCTTGACTAAACTGGAAAAGGACCATGAGCCACACAAAAGATGTGGGCAGCTACAGCCACACACTTGAGAGAATGCCGTCTATTGGACCGTCACAAGTGGAGGCTCTGTTCTTCCTAGGGACACATGCATTAAAACGCCACCACCACCACCGCCACCGCCACCACCCCATGACCTTCCACATGCTTCCACACACACCTCAGCCACCACGAATCTTCACTTTTGACCAGTGGGGAAAACAAAGGGTGTGGGTCTGGCTGCCGATGCTATCTACTGGGCAAGCTTGCGAGGTGATTCTTCTCCCGTCCCAGTCGCCTCGGTTGGAAATTGGAAATAGCTGCCCTCTTTCAAGTGTGCTCTCAACCTGGATCCTAAGGACGAGGACCACGTGAGATCTCTTGCAAGCTCTGCAGACTCTTAACCCAACGCAAAGGTGGGGGGGGGGATGAACTGACTCTAAAGCTCCTCCTGGAGCAAGTAACGGAGCATGGGAAAGGAGCCCGCGAGGTGGCTCAGTGGGTAGAGGTGCCTGCTGCAAAGCCCGATGATCTGAGTTCAGTCCCCACAACCCACAGGGTAAAAAGAGAGAACCATCTCCCACTGGTTGTCCTCTGACCCCCACGTGCATGCCATATCACCCATGCCCTCCAAAAAAAGTAGAACTCTAAAAAGAAAAATGGCTAAGGCCATTGCTCTCATACCTAGAGAGAGATTCATCTGTGTGAATAGTCACCACTCAATAAGAAGAACACAGGTCAACAGCAGCATCTCGTGGCATTAAAGGATAATCAAGCAATCAAACCTAACTCGAGAAAGACCACTGCAGAAACGGCTGCAGCGTGGGAGCTGGAGGAATATGAAGCCCAGAGGACCATCACTGTCCTATCTTCAAAGCCCAGACAAGGGTGAGCACTGGGCAGGTGCTTACTAAACCACTGCTGAGTAAATGAGCACACAGATGGCTGGAGTCAACCCAGGGGACAGGATAATCCCACTCACGAAGTCCCAGGGGGGACATTTTCAGTACGTGTTACTGCAGACTGTTACGACTCAGGGTTCTCTAATTCCAAATACTCGGGTCAAACCGCAGCACCTTCTCTCCCAAAAGTGAGGGTGCCGAGCCTCCGTGCTGGTCATTTAGTGTTTATCTAGAAGCCTTTCTCCGCCTTGCCTGATGAAACCCAGGAGAACTCTCCCTCCCATCTAAAGGTG